ATTTTGCTTATATAATGTATTCATGCTTCTAATACTAATATGGAAGTACATAAACTATCTTAGGAATATATATAATTTATTAACAAAATCTCACATTTGTTAGCTACAAGATAACATTCATCAAAATTAACGTTTTGCCCTTAAGAATATGTCTACAATGGTCAACCATGCAGTTATTTCCTCTTGAAGCCCTTTTTCTTCATTTTCATACCAGTTGGTTTTGCTTTCCTGATCTTCTCATGGGTTTTGAAACCAACCTTCCCCTTTCCCTTTCCATGCTTTCCGCCCTCTTTATGCTTAGCCTTGCCATGCCTGCGGCCGCCGCCATCATCATCACTGTCATAGTGGGCCCTTGGCATTTTCTTCTCTTGGAATTTCTTAACCTTCTTCTGAGTCCTTTCTTCCGCCTCTGTCTTGCGCTTCTTGCCAGTACGCTTTTTGTCAAACAGAGCTAAGAGGGGCAAAAGGGGAAGAATTATATTTTAATCAATATAAGATAAAAGTTGTGTACCACAAATTAAGCATCAACACCCTCCATAACCATCCTAACCCTTCAAACTTGATCTCAACCATGACAATACCCTCCTGGCTCTCCACAACACCACCTAAGCCCACCATTATCCCATCCCAGCCCTCATCTGAAGTCCCACAATACCTTCCCAATCCATGCCCTCAAAATATCAACACAATACTTCCACAACCCATTCCACCCACTCATGCCATTTGATGACACAGTGCCCCTCGAGCCCCCTCATGCCACTTACCTTCATCAGGCTCCTCGCCAACCTCCTCCCTGAAATAATCCACATCATTGTCCTCCTCGTAATCCTCGTTGTTCTCCAGTTTGGGCTTGTCCCTCATGCCATTGAGGCACTTCTGCCTGTGCTCCTCAATTCTTTTCATCTTGGCTCTGATGTTGCGCTCTTGTTCTCTCTTTCGCTGCTCTCTTACTTGCCTGCAAGAGAAACAGATATCAATCAAGAGTTCAAAGGAGATAGTCTATAAAGATGAAGTTGCTGTTAACAAAACCCAGATAAAAGAGAGAGAGAGAGAGAGAGAGAGAGAGAGAGAGAGAGAGAGAGAGAGAGAGAGAGAGAGAGAGAGAGAGAGAGAGAGAGAGAGAGAGGATAAAAGAAGAGGGAGGAAGAGCACTTACTTTGTCATTTCTCTGCGCTTCTCTAACTCCAGCTTCTCCTCTGGTGTTCTTTTAATGATGCGATGGTATAGAACTAAGCCATCCAGTAGCCCCTCTTCAACCTTCCACAACTGATATAGGAAGAAAAGTGTATCTATATATACATTTCAGTATAATTATATCTGTATGTGTGTGAGAGTGTGAGTGTGAGTGTGAGTGTGAGTGTGAGTGTGAGTGTGAGTGTGTGTGCGTGTGTGCGTGCATGCGTGAGCATGTGCATTTAGACTGGTAGAGAGTAGGCCGTACACATACATATATATACACATTAGCATATTAGTTATTAATGTTTCTCTCTGAATAAACACACATATATGATTGTGAATGTGCACACAGAAAGAAAACTAAGTGCAGATCTCAAATCATAAAGAAAACAGATGTTACTTGACACTGAGAACGGAAGTAACAAACAGACTC